TGTGTGTGTGTGTGTGTGACATCTTCTTTATCCATTCATCTGTCGATGGACACTTAGGCTGCTTCCATGTCTTGGCTATTGTAAAAAGTGCTGCTATGAACACTGGGGTGCATGTGTCTTTTCAAATCAGAATTTTCTCCAGATATATGCCCAGGAGTAGGGTTGCTGGATCATATGGTAACTCTATGTTTAGTTTTTTAAGGAAGCTCCATACTGTTCACCATAGTGGCTGCACCAATTTGCATTCCCACCAAAAGTATAAGGTTTCTTTTTCTCCACATCTTCTCCAGCATTTATTATTAGAGCAATACATTACTTTTTAATGTACTATGTATACGGTGGGGGAATCTTGTTGATAATGAGATTATGAAAATTGATTGTGACCCAACTATGAGTTCAAAAAGTGGTTTAAAGAAACGTTTAAACAGTGGGGGAGGGTATAGCTCAATGGTAGAGTGCATGCCTAGCATGCCTAAGGTCCTGGGTTCAATTCCCTGTACCTCCACTAAGTAAGTAAATAAATAAACCTAATTACTTCCCCCTCCACACACAAAATTAAGTTTAAAAAACTTCAAGTAGAATAAAAGGGCAGATACTGACAAGTGAGTGTCCTTTCCTGTTCTTCAATTTCCTCCTCTGAGATGATCTCTCTTAATTCCTGGAATTATTCCCCATGCTGTAATCTGATTAAAAGGAAAAACATATAATTGAGTTCCAAAAGAGCTTACTGCCTGGAAGAAAAGGATTAGAGAATAATGGTTTCCAGGAGAGGAGGGTGTACAAAGCAACCCAGGGGCCTTTGGGGAAAGTTATGGGTGCATTTTGGTGTCACAGTAATGGGATGCTATTGGGAAGCTGTGCTCAGGACAGGGCCACGTGGGGGAGAATGGTCCTGGATTCCTCCTCCTAGTGAAAGTTCTGTATGTTTCCATGTAGGAGGAAAGCCTGTGAATCTGAGCCTAGAACCCAATTCCAGCTTGCATGTAAATGTAAAGTGTGTTAATAAACACTGATGCCAGGAATGCTGCTACTGGGTCAATTGGAAGATTGTTCTTGGCTTTGTTGGCACTTTATTGCTTGTGCTGCAAGTGAGAAAAACCACAGGATCTCTTCATCACGGTGGTGCCCACTGTGGGTCTTATGAAGCTTTAGGGATCCATAGAGAGGTCCCAAAATCTTGGGGCTCTATCAGATGCCCAGGGTAGATTTGAAAATCCGAACTCTGAATCAGGTCTGCATTTGTAACAAATTCACAAGGGATGTTGATGTCTGCACTTTGTGGACCACACTTTGAGTCACGGAATCTTATTGGGATCAAGCCCAAGCATCATTTGCATATTCCAATATGTATTCTTTTAATAGTAAATTTCTCTCCTTCTATTTCACCTTTACACTATTGGGGGCATTTTTAGAAATGTCTGTGGAGGTAGGTTTTATTAAGTGTTTTATTTCAAGATGGTAAATGCTACGTGAGAAATTATTAGTTATAATGGGGGGAGGGGGAGGTTGGCTCTGACAGAATGAAGCAATAGTGATGGCCAGATGAGGGTAGGGACGCAGGGGCATCTCCCCACTGCAGGTGTGGCTGGGAAGTTGGGGGGAAACCCTGCATACCTGATTTG